CTGCAGAGCCCTCCTCCCCCCAGCAGATCCACACTCCCACCCAGCTTGGTGTCATCTGCAAACTGGCTGAGGGTGCAACTCAATCCCCTTGTCCGGGTTGTTGATAGAGATGTTAAACAAAGCTGGCCCCAACACTGAGCCCTGGGGGGCACCGCTTGTGACCGGCCGCCAACTGGATTTAACTGCATTCACCACAACTCTTTGGGCCCGGCCATCCCGCCAGTTTTTTAGTTTTTTACCAAGTGAAAAGTACGCCCATCCAAGCCATGAGCAGCCATTAGGGCCTGTGCTTCCCAAAATACTGTCTTTTTGTGAAGACCCCTAATGCCTGATACTGCAAAGGTGAGGGATCTAAAACCTGATGTGACCAGAAATGCTTCAGCAGCCGTTCAGTGGTTTCTGTGTGTGTCTGATAATGAAATCATAGTTAAAAATGCATTTGCGAAGGCAGGCACCTGTGCGTTGGGTTCTTGAGGCCTGATGTGTTGGGGATTTCCCGCTCTTTAAGGGCACCGTCAGCCCCGCTGAGTTGCGTTGGCTGCTCCCGTGGTGAGGGTGCGCACGTGTCCACCTTAGCACGTGTGTTGTCAAGAAGTGACGGAATGCTTCTTTCATGATTATACCTCATTAGATTTGTTTAAGATTTGTAGTAAATATTTTGCTTTCCGTTTCAAAGCAGGGGAGAGGACTCTGATGTTCAGATAGAATAAGCCTGGAGAATGTCCTAAAAGCTAAGGAATTTTCTGTGGAAGTCATTCAAAGAGTGAATATGAAACTCTGTATGTTGCCCTTTGAAATGCATTTTTGTAGTATAGGTGCACCCTCTGTATAACTGAATATTTCTAATTATTCATTTTTAATTGTAGGACTAAGTATATCTGCATATTGAGGGGAAGAAAAAGTTTAGTTTATAGTTACGAAGTTTTTACTAGGGCAAGGTAAATTGTCACATGAACTAGTCACTAATTTTTTAAATCACAGCTATTTATTTGTTTTGGTCCCCCATCATTTAAATTCTAAAATATTCCCAGGAACAATGAGCAACACAGAGGTTTCTCAGCTGAAAACGCTTGCCCCTACCGCTTTGGTCTTTCAGAAACCACAAGCACACTAGATGTGCAAGTTACCCGGCTGAGTGCTCTGAATTCACTGGATCTGTAGGCACCTACCTGCCTTACTTTACTGAGTCTAGGAGCAACTTGATTTTATATCTTTATTTAGCGTAAGGTCATAGCACCACAGTCAGTCTGTCTCCCATCAGTTGGATGCTACATGTAGCTAATTTATTCATAAGAGCATGAAGAAATTTAACTGGTGTGAGAGAGAAACACTTGAGAAATTCTGCTAAAGATAAACTTTTAAATGTCAATATTGTTCTGTGTCACAACAACTTCAAAAAAAATAAAAATCTGTCTGTCCTGTTCTGGGAAGTCAGTGCATTAAAGCTGACAGGCAAGCATGAGCTGACTTGCACAGAGGGTGAGTTCAGTTGTCTCTGCCTCCCTTCATGCGCTTAGGGCACAGGTGTGTGATTTTTTTTTTTTTTTTTTTTTTCCTGTGTTCCAAGTCTTTTTTGCTGACCTTCAAGAACATCTATCTTGCTATGTTTGGCTTTGGTCTGTTGCCCTGAAGGAGCTTCTGGGTAACTTCTGGCTATAAGTCTGCTACAGAATCACATAGGAAGAAGTGGACAGTAAGGTAAATCTGAGTGAAAATATAAATCTTCAGGTGAATGTAAATCACAGCACTACTGAGGGCAGAAGGTAATGCTGAGTAAAGATGTCTGGTAAAGTATAGCTGTAAAAGTGTATAGGCCTTTTTTTGCAGTACGACAGTTAAGATACACGTAAGAATGGTCCTACCAAACAATAACTGGCTGTGATGATCCCAGGAGCTGCCCTGAAGGTACCAGGCTTGTGTTCTGTATATGATGTGTATTCCACTTCAATAACAATGTCTTGTCCTGTGTCTTTCTCTGAGAAAATGACTGCTGCTACTTACTGACATGTGTGTTCCATCCCTTCTCTGTCCAATTGTAGATGTACTCCAGCAGAGTTGCTTTAAGTGACGAGTTCATCGCACTGCAGCCATTGTCCAGGGCAAGGAATCAGCTGAGCAAAATTAGGTAGAGTAGGAGGGACAGTTCCTTATCAACCCTTGTGCATGCTGGAGGTGAACTAACCAGTGCTGAGAGAGATGGGAAGAGGCATGAATATTAGTTGGTTGAGAGGGCAATACCTGTAGCGCAGATACTTTGGTTATCTCCTGGCTTTGCTCTGTGGTTTTGAGCCAAATGCTTCCCCTACG